CCAAAAATTTGATAGAGCAGTGATTTGCAAAGGCATGTTCTGTAGTCAGTTGGGTGCATGTCAATAAGTATTCATCTCTTCTTCATGTGTCAAAGGATGTGGAAAATTCAAATTCTTTCTTCTTATTGAGTGGCTTTCCTTGTATCTTCTTTCATCATCTTCTAAGCTCTGTATAAAATGACAGCTGTGTCCTGAACAGAAGTGAGCAATTATTCCAAAACTTGATTAAGTCTTCCTACTTCTCATTTTGGATCTGAAATCCCTCTCTTTATATTAATATTCTCTGTATTTCGATTGTTCTACTATCTGTTGTTGATAAATTATTAATAACTGCTTTATTCCCTTCAATATTTGTGGATTTATTTCTACTATTTGTCATAAAATATCACCTTAAATGGTAAAGAGACCTCATTATTGTTATCACTGCCAAAGCATTTACAGAAAATTCTGCTGAAACTCTCATGCTTGAGTTTTATGAGCTGATAACCACTTATTATGTGTACTTATTTGAGAAAGCTCCAACCAACAGGACTAGAAATCAGAGAACGCCAACGTCAGCAATTTGTTCATGACCTTGAAGTGTATACCCATTTGGGGTTTTCAAGCAGTCCTAAAGAACCACATAACCAATCTAAATTCACAGGATGCCTTTATACAAGAGTTTTAGCCAGTCTTCTGTCTTTGCAATATATCAGTCATCAAGATCATTATGAGCTGAAACTAAGCAATGCTGAAATAGCAGCACAAACAGGGGAAAGGAAAAGGGTAGCCACTCAGTGCAATGTCACATCTTTGTTCAAATTAGTTTTCATCAACCAAAATTAGCTACAACACAACAAAAAATTTATCTCCTTGGGATGCAGGTCCCAGTAACTTTTGGAAAAGGAAGAACTGCAGTAGAAAACCATGAGAAAAATCTTTTTCTGAAGAAATCGAATCCACCATTTGTAAACAAACATTAGCAAACTAGCCAAATATAATGCATGGTATTATGGCTAGCTGTTGTGTTTTCCTATGGCTGGGCCACTAGAAAGCACGTATGAACATATATAATGAACATGTGTGCATCATAATGAAATGTAGAAAAATGCCAAAGATGCACAGAACGCTGTTACCTTCCCACCAAAGTGGCCCCTATTTTTCTACTTGCATTTTTACATGATTTCGAATTGCTAGGTTGGCAGAAGTTGGGACAAGTAATGGGAGCTCACTCCGTTACGCAGTTCTAGGTATTCGAACAATTGAACTACTGACCTTTCTGATAACAAGCTCACCGTCTTATCCACTGAGCCACCATGTCCCCTTAGTTCAGTATAGTTCGATATAATAATTACTATATATTAATTTCTACTTTCTGATAAGTTTGGTATTTCAATTTTAGAGGGAACATAACCCATAACCCATAATCTTAGAGCAATTAAAACACATTTAAATCTTGATTTATTTTACTCTTGCAAAACCACATTCCAGGTTCTGCTATGGCAACTATGGCCAATAATCATTCTCAGCTATTAAAGTTCATGTTTTTAAACACTGTAAGTAGAAATAAATATCGGTATAAATTTAAAAAGAGCTGTGTATAAGAGGCTAACTTGCATCGAATAAAACAAATTGTATTTATAAAAAATTGACTGTATTACTAAAGACTGTGTAGAAAAACATATAGTGGGTAGTTGAATAGGAATAAAAATATCATTTTTAAAAATCTGACAATATGTATTGAAAAACTGGTCCTTTTCTGTATTTTGCTCAAAATTGGAATGAGATGGAATAATCTGTAAAAACTTATTACACACAAATGGACTAGGTTTTTTTAAATTAAAAATAAACTTTATTAAAGATTAAAAAGAACACTATGTACATTACATAGAATACAAAATTTCATTGCAAATGAAATCAATATACAGATACATAACAAATAAACATAAAAAACATATATGTTTCTAATCAACTAAGACAGTGTGATCTTTTATTGAAAACAATTTTACTACTATTCATTTCCTATTTTTGATAAATGTTCTTAATCTAACCACTGCATTCTTCAAATCCTTATCTTTTAATTCCCTGGTTTTTTTCTCCTTAATCCACTTGTACCATTTTTCCCAAGCTGTAGTATATCTTGAGTCTTCCTTATCCCTAAGTTTTTGTGTAAGTAGGTCCATTTCAGCGCAGTCAAGAACTTTCTGAATAATCAAATTATTTGTTGGCATTTGGTCACCCTTCCAACATTGTGCCAATGCAATTCTTGCCGCCGTGATTATATGGAGAATTAAATATTTAGTTTCTTTTGCATAATCCCCTTTTAACATTCTCAGCAAAAATATTTTGGCCTTAAATTCTATTTGGATACCTGTGATTTCTTTAATCCACAATCTAATTTTTTTCCAGTATTTTTTACTTTTTGGGCAGAGCCACCAAGTGTGGAAAAAGGTACCCCTCATTTGCTTACATTTCCAGCAAATCAGCCTTAAGTTTGGGTACATGTTCACTAACCTTGAGGATACCACCAGTAACACATTTTATATTGATTTTCTTTATAGACAGCCAATTTTGTTATTTTATAATTTTGATTCCAAACTTTTTCCCAGTCTTCCAAATTTATGTTGTGCCCTACATTCCTTGCCCATGCAATCATTGGGCCTTTAACTATTTCTTCCACCATTTTGAATTCTAACAAGTAATTATATATTTTAGAAATTAATTTTTCATCCATTCCCTCCAATATTTTATTTAATTGGTTCAGTTTTACCTCAATTCCAAATTCTTCCATGTCTTTTTTATATCTTGTCTTGAGTTGTAAATATGGCCACCACTCTATTTTCATCCCTTGCTCTATAAATTCTTGGTTCACCTTTAATCCTCCTTGGGAGTTTAATACATCATAATATCTAATTTTTCTTCCGGTTTCTAAGGCATTGGGGTGGATCAATGCCTCCATGATGGATACCCACCCTGGAATCTTCATATAATGTTTGTGTTTAATCTCTTTCCACACTTTCAATAGTGAGCTTCTGATTATATGACTATTAAAGTGTGTATAACTTTTATTTCCAGGGTTCCACATGAAGGCATGCCACCCCGCCTCCAAATTGTGCCCTTCTAGAGTTAAAATTATTTTGTTTCTCATATTGGCCCATTCTTTAATCCATGTTAAAACTGCCGCTTCATAGTATAATTCCCAGGCAGGGAGTCCAAATCAACCTCTGCATCTATTATCTTGTAATGAGCTTAATTTTATTCTCAGTTTTTTCCCTGACCAAATAAATTTTGTGATAATTTTGTTTAATTCATTAAATTTTTTTATCTAATTTAATTGGAATAATTTGAAAGAGAAATAGTATTCTTGGCAAAATGGACTAGTTTTTTTTTATAGATTACACATCCCTAATTCAATTTATAGTTCTCCTTAGGTCCAGAAGCATTTTTCTTATTATCAGACAATAAATTGTTGATACATAGATCTTCTGCCAAAGCTGGCAAAGGGAACCAACAATCACCTCCAAGATTACACAAGGAACATAAAGTCTTCAGATTGCTTTGTTTGGAAAAGTAATAAAAGAGGTGTCGTTATAAAATATAGCCAACCATCCCTTTCTATAAAATTGGAAAATGAGAATAACTCCTAGTCCTGAAAATCAGATATGTGCTATTGAAGTCTTCAATGGAGAAAATAATAATACAAAACATATAGCTCCCAGTCACAAAAATGTTATCACCCCTTGATCTTTAGTATGACCTTCCACTAGAAGTATTCAATGAAACTAGGTGAAGAAGAGATATTTATCAGGAAGCCACCAGATCTGTTCCCAGGTATCTGCTATGGTGATACATGAGCCTGCTTAATGGATTTCTCTCATCTGTTTAGTGGAATACTGTAGTGCTTGGTGGGAGACACACACTAAGAGCTGCTGAGTCCAATCAACCGTTGGCATTCTTTGATCCAGCATGAAATTGCACCAAGAAACCCTAATCCCAATCTCTCATCCATAGGAGAAGACTGTTGAATATGTTTCTATTTGGATCATTTGTCAGGATTTTCTATTTTTATACAATACCAGAATTAAAAGAATTTAATTAGGAGGTCATAGAATGAAAGAGATCATTTCTCTCTCAGTCCAAATTGGTGGCTCATGGTTTTTGTGTGAAAGTGATTATAAAAATAGTTTTATTTTCAGGGGCACCAATAAATTGGTCCACATCTGCAGCATAAGAAAACCCATATATCAGTTGAAGTTCCTTCCTGTTTGGCAAAAACAGGCCTCATATTTTGAATGCTTGAAGTTATATTTTTAAAAAACAAATAAGAAAAAGAAAGAAAGCTATGCACGCACATGCACATATACACAATGTTTTTTTTCTATGCAATGAAATCCTGTCAGCACAGCTAATCCCTAGAGAAATCAAAAGTATAAGCTCCAGAACAGCAACAAGTGCATGGTCAAAACCATGTAATCAAGATGAAGGCTTCTTCATACTGAGATTACACACCCCATTGCCTCCAATCACAACCAAAGATGACAGGAACACAAATTTAGAATCATCTTATTTTGCAAGGACTGACAACGTGGGTATAACTACTCAACAAATCATAAACTGCTCCGGATTTTAAAAATCCACTTTGTCTCTGTATCTTGGATTTGAGATAGGTTAAATAATTGAAAAGGCTGGGCTATTAGGTCATGATTTCTCTACTGCAGCTGTCCAGCACAAATTGACAGACACTCTGTAAATCCTCTTGATTGAATAAGAGGCAGAGAAAATCTATGTGCAGAGCAAAACATACTTGAAATGGAGAAAGGAGCGTAATCGACTGGAAAATAGAGACAACCTTTTATATGGATTTACTTAACTGGTCCTGTGGTAGTAAGAATAGTAATTTATAAATTAAGGCATCAATGGATACACAAAACCAGTATAAACGGCAACAGCAACTCAGACAGAATTACTGCTTCTCATAAAAATTGCACTGAACCTTCCGCAAACTTGACAAGTGAAGAACCATGAATGGTAAGACATGCCTTTATTTGGTACTATTGTGGAAAGATTCTGTCCAGCAAAGAAACACTGTGTTAACTTCTTAGCAATCCATGATATCTCTTGAAGCAGCTTGTTTCATTTGTACCTTAGCAAATAGTTGTACCCTTGGCTTACTGATACAGAATGAATCCTTTTTCTCACACAGCTTCAGAGTTCAGGAATGCTAAAAAAGATCTTTGGGTGAACCATTCAAACATTTCTGAATTTGGTTGAGCCATTGAAACTTTTTGAATTGTATTTAATGAAGGAGCACAAGTTCATTTCAGAAAGTGAAAAGCTTCGTTTGAAGGTTGACATATTTAGCTGTGCATATATAGTTTTCCAAGTAGCTAGGTCCTGATAGTATTAATGTAGACTCAGTGGCTTGCCCATCTTAGATATATTAAAGATTTGATTTCAAATTCAGTCTTTTGCATGTTTACTAAGTGAAATGTTCTCCCAAATTCAGCAGAATTTACCGTATTGATAATTGAAGCCCTTAATTATTATAAGTATAAAAAGAGACAGGAAATTCTGAAAACAGGAAAATACCAAAGCTATTTTGTGTTCCCTAGATGGGGATGAACTGAGCCAGTCTGGTGTAGTGATTAATGGCACCAGGAGACTATGTGTTCTAGACCCACCTTAGACCCCAAGCCAGAGGGTGACCTTAAGCCAATGACACATACTCATCCCTAGGAAGAAGGCAAGGATACACCACTTTTGAAAAACTTCCAAGAAAACTGCAGAGACTAGTCCAGGCATCACCAGAAATCAAACATCAGTTTGAAGGCACACACACACACACACACAGATGGAGATGACAAAATAATCCCACATATCATAAGACTAAAGGGAATAAGGTGTTGTATACAAAATGAAAGCACTCTTATGATTAAGCTAAATTCGTTTGAATGCTTTTCATGATCCTATTGAGCACTTAAAGGTGACTTTCAAGGTCTACACAATGCTAAGCAAAGTAGAATTTAAAATTCCTCAATCATTTTGAAGTTTTATTACAAGAAAAAGTAAAGTTGTGTATTCCCCACTGAATATTTTCTAGTTTTCTATATGTTATCAATAAGATTGCTTATAATCTTCTGAGTTCCTTCACATGTATTTTTATCCAGACATAAACATCTTAAAAGTTAATTACACTTCTGATAAAGAACGAAAAGTAATTATGTTTAAATTCTTAATCTTATCTAAAAGAAATTTCATATTCTAGGAATAGGGCATTGGGAACTAACAATATTGTGATTATTCAGCTTTCTACTTTGATATACAACCCCGGATTCCTAGAAAAACTCCAATTAAGTGTTGTGACAATAAACTAAATGTGTCATTAACAGTTATTTTCTTATTTTTAGGTTCATTGCTTTTTGTTTCAAGCATTATCATACTGGTAGATCTGGTGACCAGCTGTCCCCTCAAATGTCTATGTCATCCAAATTCAAGGACAGTGGATTGCAGAAATCAAGGCCTTGCCAAAGTTCCTTCCCATTTACCTGCTGAAACTCAAATATTACTTTTGTCAAACAATGGCATTCAGAAACTCAGTCAAAAGACTTTTAGAGGCACCCAAACTCTCAAAATTCTGGACTTATCAAACAATTCTATTTCAGGTTTACTACCTGAAACATTCAGAGAACTAGAGCATTTGCAGATTCTAAATCTAACAAACAATTTCATTGAATATGTAGATAATAAGATGTTTAGCTCTCTACCCCACCTAAGAGCACTGGATTTATCATCAAACAATATATCGAGGCTTCCTAGAACTTTAGGAAACAAGACAGAGAACATTACTTTATTGTCTCTGAAATATAATCATCTTCAGGAAGTTGACAGACTTCTGTTAGAATCACTTCCAAATCTGAAAATGATTCTTTTCAAGGGTAATTTCTGGCAATGTAATTGCCAAGTCTTTGGGTTGAAATTATGGCTGGAAACCTTTCTGTATAACGGTGAGTCTTTCTTTTCATAACACATATATTGAATGTCCAGCAACATTAGCTTCACTTAATGGTATTTCAAGGAAAGTTCTAAACATGCAAATTTGTTTTTTTCTAATAGTTGTGGGCACTTTTGACTTCCTGATTTACATAGCATCTGTACATTCTGCCCTGTGAAAACCTTATAGAATCTGCAGATTACAGTTGTAAAGTTAGCCTTCTCATCTTTTTCTACCACTTTCTCCTTTGGGTATCATTAGTATGATTATATTATATTACTTTGTTATTTGTATGTACACTGAGAGCTTATGCATCAGAGACAAATTCCTTGTGTGTTCAATCACATTTTGGCCATGGGGGAAGGGGATATATAGCCAGCCAAGCAATCTTAAGAATAAAAAGGACCTGTCTCTGAATTTGTAATTGTTACAAATGTTGGGAGAGTTAAAATCTACATTTTAAATCTTATAGGAGTTTTTTTTTTTTTTTAAAAAAAAATGCTCCTCTTAAAACGTCTAAAGCCTCCTTTCCAAAATACTAAGAGGGCTTTTGCACAAATATATGGTCATTTGTGCCCATTTTGAGATCACAAGGCACTGCTCATAGTAATCTATGCCTTATTCACCTCCTGATTGGACTATTGCAATGTGTTGTACAAGGGGCTGCCTTTGAAAAAGTATTTGGAAGCTTCATCTGGTCCACAATGCAGTGGCATGAGCTGTATGGCCACATGACATCATGCTCATGAAACATTACACTGTCTCCCAGTGGGCTTCCCAGTTGTGGGAAGATGCTGGTTGTTACATTTAAAGCCCTTCACAGCATAGGCTACTTGTAGGACCACCTCTCTCTGATCATTCCTCCCTGACCCAGAAGATCTGGCAAAGTAGACATAATCCTGCTGCCTTTGTGAGAGGAGCTCTGATGGATTCTAAGCAGTGGGCCTTCTCTGTCTTGGAGCAGCTTCCAACAGAAACCTGAACAAAGCTTTTTAGGCTTTGAGAAGGCTGTGAACACCTGTGTCATCCCCAGACATGGTGGGCAGGTTGTTAATTTCTGGAGCTCTCATGTGGGTGTATGGAATATAGATAGTTCTTGACTTAAAACTACAATTTGAACTGGACTATCAGTCAATAAGACGTGGTAATTAAGCCAGACACTATGTGACTGCTCTACTCAATGAGCTCAATCACTGAGTGAGAGAGAGTGATGGCCCCAAATCACTCAGCCAGCTTTCATGCCTAAGGTGGGACTAGAACTTGAGGTCTCCTGGTTTCCAGGCCAACACTTTAACCACTATATCAATGTATTTGAAATGGTGTTAACCCTGTTACAAATTATAATGGTAGCTTTACACTGTACAGGCTCTCTCCAAATTGCATTGAAACAAAATTTTGGTTTCTTTTCATGTATTCACTGACTATGTTGATACAAAATTAGAGAAAGCAAAGTGCATTAAATTTTGTTAACATGATTAAAAGTGTTTATTTCCCTGAGATAAATTTAGGAAACATAACAATTAAGATGCACTTAATCATCCATTCATTAGGAATTTTCTGCATTCAAAATTTGGAATTTCCAGGTATTCCCCTTTTGGAAACTGACTCCAATACTTTCTAGCAGGAATCCAGGATGGTAACAATATTTTAACCATCCAAATATATCAATGGTATCCAATATAAAAACTTGGGGGGCGGGGGGGACTTGGATGGACTGTAAAATTTATAATTTTACTTCCCGACTCTAGTTCTTCTTCCCAGTTTAAGCTAAAGTAAAATTAGTTTCTATGACAGGGAGAATTTTACTTTAGCTTAAAGTGGGAAGAAGTAATCACTAAAATAATCACTATGACTTAGCTACCACCCTGGCAGAGACACAGGTAATTCAAATGCTCATTTATTAATTTCACAGTCGTATGCAAATGTTTGTGCGCCCTTCATCAAATTGTGTTCCAATCCTTCAGTGATTAGAAGCTAGTCGAATTTTGATGTGGCATCCAGTTTAACATGAAACCATTCTGCAAATGTGAATGCATATTAAGTATTTTGGACATAGATCTCAAAGTATCAGTTTCGGAGGATAGAAAACATGAAAACCAAGTGAATATATTGAGTTAGAGTTTAGCACTTAGGAAAGAATTAACCACCTGTAACTTGATAGTTGTGGCCAGAACTTCTCAAGGAGACAGGAGACCTACAAATGTACAGTAAGTTGAAAATGAAAGAGGCACAGGTAATAAGATTTCAAGGAAAAGCTCCTTGAGAATTATGGTCTGCTTGACAGACACCATTTCTACTTAGTAGACAGTCTATGTTAGCTGTCTGTAGAGTTGACATAGTGAAGGGATCAAAAAAGAAAATATGGCAGTTGTGATGTGTGCTATTAAACCCCCATTGTTTGTTTACTTGTGTTATGCATGTTACCATGTGTGTGCATGTTTGCATACATAGGGCAGAATTTTGATACATTTTGTGTCTACCATCTTGACTTTTTGATGTCCCCTGTGGAAGCCCAGGGATGCAGGCCAGCTATATCAAAGGGATTCTGTGATTTTGCTCATGGAATTATGTAATCATATGAAATCTTACAAGATTTTGAATATGGTTTATAAAAAAAATTAGGTGGACTGCTGTTACCATTTATGGCATTGATGTTCTCAAGGGTGCCACATTGCTGACCATGGGTTAGTGTAAATGTGTGAAAGAATGAATCCAATTATAATATGTGATGAATTGGACTTTGATTGCTTTAGTTTAAGTATTTTTTTAAATTACAAATTATAATGGTATGACTGATCATAATTATAATGTATTGCAATTTTAAACAATTTAATGCTTCACTGTATAATTTTTCTATGGTTGGCTCCTTTTCAAAGTAGTTGATAAAATAAGCATACATTGAATAGTTGTTTTTAATAATTGTTTTTAAAAATGTTTCTCCTTTTCACAACACATACTTATAGTATCTAATGCAGGGAGAAAAAGCAGTTTCTATCTTAGCTTAGCCAATCAGTAGTTTCAAAATTTTCTGAAATATCAAGAGTTAAGATACATTTTTTTTTCCCCATCAGGAGGAATTAGCGATGAAATCATCTGTTCCATCCCTGAAAATCAGAAGGGAAAAGACCTGCTGAAAATTCCCTATGAGTTGTATGGGACCTGCTTTCCTACAGCTTCTCAGGGTCACCAAGTCTATTGGCATCACAATTCTAAGCATAAAGGTTCTGCAAAGCACACCCACCCCAGTGAAAATGGAGGAAACAACACCCAGATAAACTGTGAACGTAAATCAAAGCCACAGCTGGTTAACTTGCGTCATTCAGTTGTCACTGTGGCTATAACTGGTGTTGTCTGTGGGATCATATGCCTCATGATGTTGGCTGCCGTAGTATATGGCTGTGCCTATGCAGTAATTACAGCAAAATATCACCAGGAAAATTCATATCCTGGCAAGGAGAAGGGGAGCCATGAGGAAAAAGAGCCATTTGAGAATTCATTGGCTTGACTTTCTGATGGCTCTGAACTGCCTGAAGGAAATTCTTTGGTTATTTGTGGTTCCTCTTTTCTCTAGAAACAAGAAGAGTATTGAAATAGGTCTAAATGTGTCCTGAGGATTGATTTCCTTGGTACAGGAACATGTTTCAATGTAGAAATAGTGTAATATGTGATGTTTTATATTTACCTGGTTCATCTGTATAATTTAATCCTGTTTACATATGGTAGGGTTGTAAAAGTTTATTAACAATTGGAGCAACATATATGCTTAGCAAAATAAATAAGCAAATTTACCCTGGCTTGATTTTTTCCCCCCACCATATTCCAGAGTGTTTTCATATAAATCTATTTTCATAAAATATCTTTTGAAATCTGTAAAAATGGAGTTAACAGGTAGATAGCAATAGAGGCAGAAATATTAGATGTTCTCTCCCTCCCCATGAATGGTCTTTAAAACCTTTGTTCTTGACCTCTAAAAAGATCTTATTGAAAGGAAAGATGAAATCCACTCTGTTCCATTCAACTGCTTTTCAAAAGCCTTTCATAAATAAGTTTGAGGTTCTGCTTGAGGTCTTCTACCAAACTTCTAATTTAATCCCCAAATCATAGCCTAGAAGAGAGACATGCTAATAACCATAAATGAATCCCGAAAGGAAAATTCAATGTAGATTATTGTAAATACACTGCACCACAAGTACAACTCTGATGGGATACCAAGAATAAAAATATCATAAGGAATTTGCCTAAAAAGTATGTGATGGATTAAATAGGCTTATTTATTTGCATTTTCATTTATTCCCTCCAAGAAACTTTTAATTCTTCAATCCTAAATTTAGTTTAATCACTATATCTTGGTAGCCTTTACAATTCTAGTTTATGCATAGTTGAAAAAAATATTATATGGGGGTTTGAATTAATAACTTATTTCATTGTTGTTGCTCTATGATAATTACATTTTATTACAGTACAGATTTTGTTCATATGACTGTTAAGTGGATATTACCAAATGAAACATTCAGCCTGTACACTATAATAAATAAATTATTTTGCAAACTATTTACTAACATTTCAATCTCCTAACTTGACTTAACATTAACAAATAAGACACTACTATGCTGCACCATGAAATACTTAATACTTCAATAGAGACAATGACTTTGAAAGTCGCAACTAGTTGTGAATTCTATGAGCATCACAAATTATTTCCTACTGCTAAACATTCAGGCCAATTTGCCAGCACAACTGTTCTTACTTCCAAATGCAAATTTGGGGGGATGGGAACTACCTAGACAAACCTTAGGGCAGAAGAAAGCAGCTGTGCTATTATCACTACAATCCTTTCCCAGGACCAATTAGACGATGGTTCCCTCCCAGTTTCTAACAGGATAAATCATTATGAGAGATAGTTTGCATGCCTCTGTATCAGAGGTGGTATTCAGCAGGTTCTGACCAGTTCTGGAGAAACAGTAGTGGAAAAATCTCTGGATACCTGCATAAGGATAGAGGCATTCCTGTCAAACAGGCAACAAATGGTCAAAATTGGGAGTGTCCTATCAAATTCTGTACCTGTCAACAGTGGTGTCCCCCAAGGCAGTGTTCTAGGACCAACTCTCTTCATACTCTACATAAATGACTTCTGTGATCATATTAAGAGCAACTGTGTTCTCTTCGCCAATAAAGCTATTCAACACCACCGACAATACTGCTACCCTTCAAAAAGACCTTGACTATGTATCAGAATGGTCAAACAAATGGCAACTTCAAATCTCAACAAATAAATGCTCTGTCTTACATATTGGCAAAAAAATCAGAAAATAAAATACAAGCTGAATAGTCAAGACCTTGTTGATGATCCAAACTCTGTCAAGGACCTTGGAGTACTCATCTCTAATGATCTAAGTGCTAGAGCCCACTGTAACTACATAGCCAAAAAGGCATTAAGAGTTGTTAACCTAATCCTGTGTAGCTTTTTCTTTGGTAATATCACAGTACTAACTAGAGCATACAAAACATTTGCTAGACTAATACTTGAATACAGCTCATCAGTCTGGAACCCACATTACGTATCTGATAATAATACAGTTTGGAAAGTCCAGAAATATTTCACAAGAAGAGTTCTCCACTCCTATACTCGTTACAGAATATCTTATGCCACCAAACTTGAAATTCTAGACCTAGAAAACCTAGAACTATGCTGCCTTCAGTACATAGAATTATATATTGCAATGTCCTACCTGTCAATGAATACTTCAGCTTCAACCATAACAATACAAGAGCACACAATAGATACAAACTCAAGGTAAACCACACCAAACTTGATTGCAGCAAATACGACTTCAGCAACAGAGTGGTCAATGTCTGGAATGCTCTACCTGACTGGTTTTTTCCGCAAAAACTTTAACCTTAGACTGTCTACTGTTGACCTCACCCCTTTCCTAAGAGGTCTGTAGGGGGCGTGTATAAGCACACCAATGTGCCTAGTGTCCCTGTCCTATTGTTTATTTTTATTTTTCTTATATGTGTCCATTTCATGTATTTATAACTATGTTTATACTTATACCGGTTATCTTATAATCGCTTGACAAAATAAAATAAATAAATAAATAAAATAAATAAATTTTGAGTAGTTCAGAGAACCGGCATGTACCACCTCTGACTGGAGATTTTACAGTATCATTCCCCTGCCACACCCACCAAGCCACGCCCACAGAACCAGTAGTAAAAAAATTTGAATCCCACCACTGCTCTGTATACAAAAGACAACTACAACAATGTTGGGGACACCATGAGCATTCATAATTAGTTGTACTGGAAAATGCATTTGTGCAGTTGTTGATTCATTTAATCACTAATAAGCCACGGAAATAAATATCTCCTCATGAGCTTCATCAGGAAGAAGAAATATGACTTTTTCCCCTCTCAAAATTTCAGTCTCTTGGGATGAAAAATCAAGAATCAAATCAAGACTGTGATAGAAAATTCAGGATCAGTATTTACTTCTATTATAAAGAGAATGGAGATGGGGAGATAATTGTTAGGTAACTTTGCACAATTCTATTTTTTTTTTTAAAAGGCATTTTACAAAATCTTTTATCAATGATTCATTAATAAATGTAGCACCCACTGGGATTTTAGATATAATTTTTGATGCACTGTACTTTAGCAGACTATATTGAGTTCAAAGAACAAGGCAGAGAGTTGTAAGTCACTAAGACTGTAATGAAAACACCTGTTGTTCTCATAAGCCAGTTTATCTAATTATATGCTATTTTCCATTGTGAAAGGAAAGTGTTTGATGACACTCATACCAGATGATCAGCATGGTCTCACAGGGAAATAGATACCTGGAACATCTATTAATATACTCAATTGGCTCTCCTGTTCTTTAAAAGATCTCAATGTCACAAAATATACTGTTACTTTTGTTCTTTCTGAAAGGTATACTAAGCGTATCACTGTTAGTTAAAATCTACATACATACTCTTAAAAGTCTGTGCAACTATGCTAGTTTGTAAAATACATAGTAATTATTGCTCAGTAAAGGAGAAAAATTTTGCATACAACTTTTCAGGCTGAGGTTCAGTTTTTCATGAACACCCAGAGCCAGTTGTTTGTGTCTTGTACAAACTATGGCTATATGCTTTGAATGTCAAAAAATAACCTGTGTTATGAAAGTTAGACACTTAGAACACTAAGCCTGATTTCCCTCTTTAACAAAGTTAACAATGTTGCACCAACGAAACAGAAGAACTCTAAAAAATAAAATAGGTCAAACAAAACTATTTTGAGAACTCAAATAAACTTGGAAAATTCTTGGTATATCAAATCAAAAAGGGAGGGGAGAAAGTTATGTGAGAGTGTGTGTGTATATAGTATGTGCAGCTGCCCAGAGTGTTTTATTATGAGATAAACTGCAAATAAATTCAATAAAAAAACAAACAAATGAAATGTATATTTATACATTTTGATAGATAGATAGATAGATAGATAGATAGATAGATAGATAGATAGATAGATAGATAGATAGATAGATAGATAATAGATAGATAGATAGATAGATAGATAGATAGATAGATACTTTTCAGTGTTTTCCCGTAAGTGCAGGTTCTACTTGTTTTGGATCAACCAAGTGTCTATTCTAAATATAAAATAGACAGAGAAAGTTTGAAAACATACATTGAAGACATAGAATAAAAAAATTACTCAAGAACACAGGCAAACATTAAGCAAACCCATTACAATTCAGGAGGTCAAAGAAGCAATAAAAAAATATCAAATCTGAAAAAAATGCCAGGTCCAGCACAATTCCCCCAAAAAGTAGAGGAAGAACTGGTGGAACTACTCCTGGGGAGATTGAATGAAATCCAAGTAACGAAAACAATACCAAAGACAGGGGGAAGAAGTATGTATACTGTAACTCTAATAACAGTGAATTATCCAAAGAAACTTCAGTCATGCAGACCAAGTTCTTTATTAATGTTGATTATAAGGCATTCACTACAATATTAGTTGAATGAATGAGGAAATACATTTCCAAAATCATACATAAAGATGAAACATGTTGCATTCTAAAGAGGATGCTAAAAGACAAGAACAGGATTTACAATAAAGGCAGTAGGACACATCAATACTTTCTTTTTTTCTTTCTTTTTTTAAAGTAGCTGGTAGTAATATTTTTAGATACAGAAAAAGCATCTGTCAATTTGGAATAGACTTTTCTATTAAAGAGCTTAAATAAAATGAACTCAAGGAGAGAGTTCAAAACTTGAATGGAGAGAATATATCAATGACAACCACAAATATCATATTGAGTAGAACACTCTCTGAAAGCTTCTTAATATGTAAAAACAAGACAAAGTTGTCTACTTTCTCACTTACTACTATAATTGCTTTGGAAGTCATGGTGGATGAGATGCAAAAATATAAATAAATACAAATTGAAATGTTATATACATGTCAGCCTTTCCAGACAGGAAATCAGACAGGAAATACAATCAGAGCATCCAATTCTACTTTATGATAAAACTCTATTAACAGAATCTTGCATGTCTAAAAAAATAAATCTCCTGCTCTTTCCTTAACAGAAGGAGAAGCCAGGGAAAGTCCCCTCTGAGATTTTTTTCTCTGCCCATTAAGGGAACTGTACTTAGACCTTCTCTTATCTGATGGTTCCTTAGGCAGTATGTCTCTCAAAGTATTTTTTACAAACCATTACAGTAGATAATGTAATATTATGCATCCAGGAAAGGTCTATCAGGTAGTTAATAAAAGACTTAATGATTTTAGCTTTGGTTCTGGCTACAAAGTTAATGAGAAGAAAATGAAGATAATAACAAGGTATTTAATTTATGGGGAAATTGACTTGATTAAAAAAAAAACTGGCTGTGAGATCCCCTAAGACCCATGAAATACTTAAAGTTATTTGATATGATGAAATAAAGCTATATTTTAAAACAATTATAGCAAATTATGGAAAGAAGTAAAACAATACCTCAAAAGTGGAAGAATTTAAAATTCTCTTAACTGGGACTTACTGCAACAATAAAAATGAATATACTAATCATGATGAGCGCTTTATTTTAAATGGCATGACTATCCATCTCAGACCAAATGTTGCAGATAGGCACAAGACAATTAATAGCAAGAATGGGGGGAAATGAGAATAAGATTTACAAGACAAAAGAAAGTGGTGTATATGCTCTTCCTAATCTTAAACATTATTAAGCAAATTATGTGTTATGGATAATGGAATGGATTAAATTTCTAAGAACAAAACATAAATCATAGGAGAAACTAATTTAGGTAATAGACTCATAGGCATTTATGGTGTCAAGAAAGAAAAGAACAAAAGATTTTGAAGGGACATATTATAAGAGAGCCAATTTGGTGGTTAAGGCAGGGGTGTCAAATTCGCGTCGTCACGGCCTGGTCATTTGATGTATTGTGACTTTGCTAAACTGGGTGTGGGCATGGCCAGTGCATGACACATCTGGCCCATGGGCCATGAGTTTGACAGCCCAGGGTTAAGGTATCAAGTTAGAAACCAGATGACTGTAAATTTCTAGTCCCACCTTAGGCACCAAGCTGGCTGGTTACCTTGGACTAGTTTCTCTCAGCCCTGGGAAAGAGATATAGGCAATCACTTACTAAAAAATCTCACCAAGAAAACTGCAGGGACTTTACCAAGCAGTCTCCAAAAATTGAACTTGATTGAATAAGTATTTGAATCCAGTGAAATTAGATTAAGATCAACAATTTCATCATTCAAATCCCTGTCAAATGCTTTTTGCTTTAAGGATAAATTATTGGAAGATGTATTTAATCACATGTCAGTATGATACATTTAGATCCAGAAAACAGGATAAATAAATAAGATCTGCTCAATGAAGAAAGGAACTTACCATTGTTAAACACTTGCAAAAATTACTGGAAAAATAAAAGTGATCTTAAGAAAGGCTGTCCTTGAGAAAGAATTTGAAACGCTTAAACAAAACCAAGATTATTTTTTGGGGTGCATCTATAAATCGTTATTGAAATATGATAAGGAAGCAGAACAAATTAAAAACTACATGATAAAATGGCTGCAACATTTCAAAGAAAGAATTCTAATAGAACAATAGAAATAGCTATGAAGGGGAAAAATCAGAAAATTCACTCTAAGCTGCAATGTGAGAGAAAATTGGTACAAGATGTTTTATAGACAGTATATAATTCTTTCAGTGATTACCAGGCTGGACAAGTCATAAAATAACAAATGCTGGAAATGCTATTTTATCAAATGTGGTGTTCTTGTAAAGAAACCCAAAACCATTGGAAGGAAATGCATAATTTAAAAAAAAAATTAAAATAAATTTGAATTGAAACCACAGAGATTTTTATTAGGAATAATTCCAGAGAGTGTAAACAAGTACCATAATTTACTGAGATACATGCTGATAGCGGCAAGAACCAATTTGGCTCAACATTGGAAAAGTGAAACCTTGTTGACAACACCAGAATGGGAATCTAAAATTGGAGAATATGCAGCAATATAACAGAAGTTTAACTAAATTCAAGCAGTAATGGCTCCCTTGCATTCACCATATTACAAAGCAAGGCGAATTCAGATATTTATCAGAGAAGTTCTAAAAAAAGGAGCTACAAGATGCTGAACAAAGATAGCAGATACAATTATTTAAACAGCTGTAAGCAATAATTAGAAATCTTCAAGCAAAAGATCTTGAAAGAAAAGTATAAACTTTGAACAGAAGTTAGTAATTGAGAATAATGGAAAGAAAGAGGAAAATGTGCCGATGAAAGTTTTTTCCCCTTAATCTATCTCTGTGTATGCAATAGCTAAATCAATTACATTGATTTAAGCATCTCACTTTAATGAACAAATAATACTCCTTTTTTATAGCACTGGTCATCCTCCTGCATGCCAACTGCATACACTGCAATATTTATATTACATCAGTGGTTGGTTTCAAAGTGGTTTACTACTGGTTTGGTGGGTGTGGCTTGGTGGGCACGCTTTGCGTGCGTGCACGCCAAACGTGCACATGCAGAGGATTTCCTACTCACCTCCTGCAATCCCTGTAGCTTCAAGAGCTGACATGTGGCAATCTGCTGTGCCATGCAAAGCAGCTGCACTTCAAAAGCAGGGAATATGGGAGCCAGAGTAGGTGGGTAGGCCCAACAGCAGCTAATCAGAGAGAACCGCTTCGGTCTCAGCTGATCTTTGCTGCTACCGGTATGCCAGAACCAGGCTGAACCTGTAGAATAGCACCACTGTATTACATCAACTAATATGGAAAATCATCCAACAGTTTGGGGTGAAATATTACCAATGTAGTTCCACCTTGGAGGAGATATGGTGCAAATACAGGCCTGGTTCATCAGCTCTACGTGGGGAGAAACAATCCAAGCTACAGGAGAGGAGGGCCATTAATTTAGAAGACTGTTAACTCTGGGACAGTATCAAATCTGACTTTTCATAATAGTTGTCTCCTGAAAAGGCAAGATATGGGGCCTCCTGGACATACATCTTCTCTTGGAAGCACAGGTAAAGCTGTGGCCAGGAGATCCATTATCCAGTTCATGTGCCAGTTGTGGATAGGAATGTGATGCTTGATAACAGAGTCAATTATTCCTCTTACATAGATTACTATAATTCAGTTTACATGCTGCTGCTTTTGAAGAGTGTGTGTGGATTCTCAGCTGGTATAAAATGCCTATATGCTTACTGAAAATCTAAATATACACCACTGCAAAGGAGTTGCATTGGCTACTGCTTTATCTCCAATTGCAATTCAAGGTGCTGGTTATCACCTATAAAGATTTAAATAGTTTGGGCCTGGGTATCTGCAAGACTGCTTTTTGGCCACCAACCCATGTGAGCAGAGAATGCATCTTCCATCTATAATGAGGGATGAGAGGAGGTAGCACAACTGAAGGCCCCTCTTTTAGAATAGCTTGCTTGCTATGATGAAGGTGACTCTTTTTCTCATGACCGCCCAAAATATGTTAAAACTTGGCATTTGTAGAAGACCCTTGGAAAATGAATGGTTTGTGGAGTCATCAAAATAGATGAATGTGGTGAAGTTGTTAATTTTTCTTTTATTGTATTAATATTATATTACTATTATTCTTATATACAGTCTAGAAATAGTCTAGAAATAGATTTAAACCTTTAAAGTAAAGGTTTCCACGGTCCAGTTGTGTCTGACTCTAGGTGCAGATCTCCTCTCCATTTCTTAGCTGAGGGAGCCAAGGTTGTCCAGTACATTTCTGTGGTTCATGTGGCCAGCATGACTATATGCCAAGGCACCTGGAACACTACCCGCCCATCAAAATGGTGCCTATTTATCTACTGATATTTGCATGCTTTTGAACTGGGCTGGCAAGAGCTGGGGCAAGTAACAGCAGCTTACCCTGTCACTCAGCACTCAGGTCTTGAACCCAGACTCTCAGCTTTCCAGTTGACAAGCTCAGCATCTTTAACAACTGAGTCATTGTGCCCCCTCCCAATTTAAATAAACAATCTATAAACACATTGCAAAAATTCAATGAATAGACAGATGCCAAATTTGTCTATTTGTTTTATTTATTATCCCACCTTTATTATTATTACAGATAACTGAAAGTAGCAAGCATATACAACACACTTTCCTCCTCCTATTTGTCCCACAACAATAACAACCCTGTGAGGTGAGTTGGGTTGAGAGAGAGAGAGAGTGACTGGCCCAAGGTTACCCAGCTGGCTTTCATAGCTAAAGTGGAACTAGAACTCATAGTCTCCTGCTTTCTAGTCTTAACCACTAAACAAAATGAAGGTAAATCAATGTTTTTAACATTTTATTTAGGAGAAAATATGTGAGATACCACAGAGCTTCCCAGGCCAATGTTTATTGATAATAATGATTATAATTTGGTTGGTTCCCCAACATATCAAGAGTCGTCTCTCACTCAGGAACAAATGTTTTAAAAAGACCTTCTAAAACTGTGAATTACTGAACTTTCTTCCAAAATAGGTTTTAAGTGACAATTCCTACGAATCAAGAAATCCCATTTAAAGCATTGTTATATAAATTAAGTTTTGTTTTTACCTGCTACCACAGGTGACTTTCGGTCATCCAGCAGCTGTATGGCAGTACTTGCTGTCACCACATTGCTCTTGTTTGCTGTTTCTATAAATTGAAAAGGAATGGATATTCAGGTCCAAATTCTCTCTCTGTATGGCAACAGCCATACCATTGTCCCTAACAATGGGGGTTGGCATGATAAATGGGGGGGGCACCATTTCTTTGAAGTTGGGGCATGCTTTGCCATTAATCTGGAAGGGAACTTCTAAGACCTTCAAGTTTTAAGTTAGGCTTACAAAGCTGGGGAAATTGACAGTTTTGTCCCTGTTTCAAACGGCACAACCTGCAATTGTTCTGGGGGCTAGGAACAGGGGACTGGGTGGGAAATGCACATTATCTATGAACTACCCAATTCTGGTATCTTGTATTATGATTGGATACATTACACTGGACATGGCTCCCTTTCTTTTCTTCTTTTATATTAAAGAATGGACGTCCAACCTTTTGGTTTGCCTGGATCACACTGAGTGAAGGAGAATTGTCTTGGGCCACATATAAGATATATAATATAATTAATGTACACAAATCACATAATAATGTTAAAAACTTTATGATCTTGTGGGGCCACATTACTAGCTGTCCAGGGCTGCATGTGATCCACGAGCCATAGGCTGGATATGGAAATTTTCCATTGTCTTCTGGCTATAAACCTCTTGAAATCAGTTTCCCTTTGTAGTTATCAAGAGTTTTTGTTTTTTCTTGAAAAAAATGGGTCAGGGAGGGAAAGAGGGGCCCCACCTTCCTATTCCATGAAAAAAGAGGGTTGCATAAGGGACAGAAAAAATAGGCCTTATCTCTCCAGATGCCAGTACTCAAGATGCCACCTCTCTCCAGGCCCCAGTATTTGGATTTGAATAAAACCCACCAAAGCCAAACAAGGATACAGAGGAATCGATGTATAATGTACATTGGGTAAAGTTTCTCTTCCTGCTTTAGATTTGATCATTTCTCAGGACTGCCATGAGAAATAAAAACAGCCTTCAAGTAATTCTGTATGCAACTTATTATACCTAATTGACCTTGGCCGATCTTGAACAAATAAGCAGGTTCAGGTTTAGATGGATGGAAGGCCAAAGAAATCCAAAGGACATAGGCTAGAGTGGTACATTGGAAAGGCACTCCCGGAAAAAAGACTGTGGCAAACTATCTCTGTTGAGTTACCAATAAAGTTCTCCCTTGCAAATTGTCATTTCCTATCATGTTTTGACATGCAAAGTGATATTATGTCCCAAACTGAATTATTTTAGTTAAGAATTAGCAGCAGGATAAAATGTAATTCCATAACAAACCTGTACTGAATGGAATGGAGTAGACAAAACTTCCTGGAATCTGCTCAGCAGCCCTTCTATACCAAAGTGGGAAATGATCCGCGTTAAAAATATTCTCCTTGTCTTCAGCTGTCAAAAAGTCTCTTGAAACAGAAGGAAATAAAAAATTGCTCTTTTTCATTTCATTTTTCACTTATCCTCTAACTTACCTAGTTTGTGTTTTATTCTTCTGTTTGTTACTCAGAGCTATCTTTGATTGATGCATGGCCATATAAATTGGCTGCCTAAATAAATAAGATATTGTAAAGCCTGGCTTATTTTCTCCCCAGTGTAAATAAGGTGGTGAACACCATTTTGCACGTTCTAGGTTTTGTAATCCCAGCAAAAAAGACATTTGGGGTGGAGGCCAGGGAGTGCCTTTCTCATCTGCTACTTCCCTTTGTTCTGTTACAAGAAATACAAATACAAATAGAAAGAAAATAAAGAGAATGGAATAAAGGGAATTGAAGGGGAATCCTGTTCTGAATCAATAACCAATTAAAGTACAAATAGACAGAGCAAGGAAAAAGGACCATTTTGCTGGTTGGTTGGACTTTCTGCAATTTGAAGTAGCCTCTAGGCAGTTGCTAGGAACTGAACAATTTCACCTTAGTGAGAGGGAAAGGAAGGAGGAAGGAGAGAGAGAAGTGCAAGAGAAAATGTATGATAATATCCACTGTGTGTTTCTTCCAGTATATACAGTGTCATCAGGGATCAAATTCCCCTTCTTCTGCCTTTGAATTTTCTAGAGCAGATTTGGGTGGCATCATGTTGCTCCTATGCTGAAAAGCACTGCAAAACCTGATTTGCTCCAGCAGAAGCCAATGAAATTCGATTTAATTTATCCTCTGTAGATAAGTTGCAAGTGCGTTATTTCAATAAGGCAAATGCCAGGTGGATTTTCCAGTTCCAAGGATCCAGGATTTGGATATAAAGGATTTTGAAATAAAAATCCCACAGTTGTTTTTTAAGTACACGCATGTGATATATATCCCAGTCATGCATTTTGCTTCCTTATTTGCCAAAGACTTTGAGCAGAAAAAAAGAAAACGAGCTGAGGAATATGTCTGATATCAGAATCAAACATGCACATGCAAAAAGATTTACAATGTGGTAACTTTCATGGCGCTTCTAGTTATTCTAGAAACAAAGCAATTTGGTTTGATATGTTCTGAAAGATGAAATCTATAGGGGCATAGCTCCAGGGTGGCTCCCTCCCCTTCCCATTATGAATCTCTTGAAATTCATGTGAACTATTATTTAGTTTCCAAAGAATTGCAAAAGACAGCTAAGCCCACCTAACTTGCAATTTAACCCCCTGATTTTTTTTCCTGATACCACCACTAGATGGAGAGAAAAGATCGAGCGTTTTCCCACAGCAAGCATCCTTCCTTTTCTCAGTATAGTGCAGTTACTATACCTAGTTTTAGTACTTACTGATTAGTTAATTGTTCTGGTCCAACAAAAAGATTGATCCGAGAAAGACCGGTCCGAGTTCCAAGGAAAGCAACCTCTACTCCCTTGTCTGAATTTCTGAAAAGCAGGAACAGCATGAAAGCATTCTATTTCTACAAAGTAAACAGTTTATGCCTATTTCAAGGTCACAAAACATGTGTAGAAACCAGGACTGCAACTGCAATCAGTTTACCAAATTCAATAATCAACTTAAGCTTTTAATGAAAATTAAAACGTGCCCCCAACGTCCAAATGAAAGCTGACTGAAAGGATATTATATTCTGCAAATGACATGGATGTATTATTTCCTGAATGAAGGGGTGAAGTTTCCAATGTTGGGGCAGCACAAATCTCAGAATAATTTAGGGAGAAAAAAAATCCACACGTAACCACTTATGGATTACAAAGGCTCAAGCCTTTATCTGGATAATTAAATGATGGGATATGGATCTCCCTCTCCAATAAATGAAGTAGATTTTGATAGTGGTAGATTTTGTGTGTGCGTGCACCATCTCTCTCTCTCTTCCCCTCTCCCTCCTCCCTCCCCCCCCTCTCTCTCTCACACACACACACCCTATGATATATTTTACATTTATCATGTTTGTCTGCATCCATATCTCTGGTGTATTGTTTTGTTTTGTGAGCTGCCCAGAGTTATATGCTTAAGCTGAGAAGTTATACAAATTTCCTAAATAAATATACAATTACTTTGACTTTTTGATACACATAAATGTATATATTTGTATAAGAAGCTTATACAATCTTTCATGAAATGCTTGAATTCATCTATGAAAGCCTGGTGCTCAGCAAAGTTGCCCTGTAGTCCTCCCCAAAATGGATGTTCATTGTGGAACCCCACAAGGATAGGTGGTGAACAAAACTGTCATATCAAGCTCCGGATTATCTGGGGCACTTTTATACCAACCATATGTGCCTGAATATTCTTTGATTGTGAGTGAAGTAACTTAATGAAGAATTTATATAGTCCTAAATTATATTCATATCCAAATTAATTAATATAAGAAGAAGGAAGTACAGTCTGTCCACTCACTCTGATTTATTTAGTGCAAGGCTGGTCCAATAAGCTTCAATTGGGGCACTCACTACTGCATCAAATAAGACTTCCTGTATCAATTCTTTGTCACCTGTAATGTTTAAAACATTCATGAAAAGCATGCATGGAATCTCCTCACCAGATAAATTTGACCTCACCAGATATTGATAGGTATTTTCCAGGTTTATTGTTTTAAACTTAATTTCAGAAAATGTTGGAAATGAAGGATAACTCCCCCATTTATTTTTGAGATAGAGAAGGGAAGCAATATTTTTTATCTCGCTTTTGCATATCAAAACCTAAATTTCAAATATTCCCTTTTCAATTTCAAAACTGGTGTGTAATTCATCTTGCTGGTATTAAGCTCATTAAGAAGTTTTATACTATTGCACCCTACCCGACTTCCTACTTTAAAAGTCAATGTTTACATAAGCAAATCAGTTATTTATTGTTTACCTTTTGATTGCAGAGTAAGGCTAGCCATTATTGTTTGTACTGTGCATATGGAAGATTGCAACTTAAACTACTTGAACCCACATAGTCAATTTGGTGGCTGCGACCCTGTACAACTCCACAGTGAAGTTAATCAGTGGTTCCCAACCACCGGGCCCCGGACCGGTACCAGTCCGTGGAGCATTTTTTACTGGGCCGCAAAGAAGTGGGCGCCGCCATCTTGTTTTGACGGCGCTTGAGAAAGTGCTTCCGGGTGAGCTTGTCGGCCGTCGATTGGAAAGCAGTGTTTGGGTGCTGAATCCTCGCGCCTTAGTTTCATCGAGGGGGGGGACGGCTTCGAACGAAGAGCCGTCCCGATGGCGGTGGAGTCTCGCGTTAGGAGGAGATTAAGAAAGAGCCCGAAAAGCCCATCGACAAAGGTACAAAGGAGGAGTTGAAGGTGGCGGGGAGAAGCGGGGGACGGCTGGCTGGCCAGTCGCTCGGCTCGCCTTGCCTTGGTCATGTGTGTTGATGCCGGTACCGGTCCGTGGATCATTTTGTGATGCCGGTACCAGGCCGTGGGACAAAAAAGGCTGGAGGCCACTGAAGTTAATGACTTACTTCCATGGGTGCTGCTATACTAGATTTTACAATGAAGTGTGCCAGGTAAAAAGAGGATTGAACTTCTATTACCCTGAACAGTTGATTTGAAGAAAACAGGTAGGGCCTCAAAGGTTCTTTTTTAAAAAAACAACAACTAGACTTTCTTTGGGTTTTTTTGAAGATGTTTCACTTTTTATCCAAGGAGCTTCATCAGTTCTGACTGGATGGTTGGGGGGTGGAACAAATCCATCCGCACACACATACACATCACCCCACTATTTAGTGAAGCTTCTTGGATGAGAAATGAAAAAGCACCTTTGGGACAACTATTACCTGGTTTACTGAGAATATCCACAGACAAAGGCAGGTATAGCTTAAAGATACAGGAGCTATATAGTTTTCTTGGATCCCTTATTCCATTAAAAATTAAAAAGCAAACACAATATATTTATTTGAAGAACTTTCCAGATTCATCTGAATTCAACTGTGATCAGAAATATACTCACAAGGAAGCAATGGCTCTTTCCCAGTGAGATAGTTTTTAATTGCCTTCAGTTGAGTCATTTGGCGGTGTTCCGGATGCAAGTCTGTGTTGCAATATGACCTGAGGACAATGTGTGGTTAAAAATAACAATAACAAATGATCTCCCTTTGTCTTTCCATAAGTGGGGAGCGGGCACACCAAGTACAGACAGAAAGAACATCACAAGTCAATTGCATGCAGATTTACCATTCATCTGCCAAAGAGACATCAGGCTGTTCTAAGTCATGTAATCCTGAAAGGAGAATAAATGATAAAGAGTTACTTTGGGGCACACAATAGCACCAGTTCAATCTTTGAATAACATTCATAAAAGTCAAAATGCCTTTCTCCTTAAAAATGCAACAAAACCCCCTCAATATACTTTAATCAATGATGGTAAGTCATAATTCTATCAGTGATTCGCAAATATGTAGGAAATTCTAATTCATCTATTTCAGCTTTCTTCTTCTCTTTTCCTTTTTATGGTTTTCCCTCCTAATGTCCCCCTATCTTTTATTTACAGATTGAAGCATCTATTGTCACATGAAATCAAGGGAACAGCAGATTATGCAGGTGTCTTGCAGCTGTCTAGCTTCTATCATTTTGTGTACTTAATTATCTTCTCTTGCTTCGACTTAACTAAATAGTTAGGGATAAACAAGTTTGATTTCCCCCTCCCCCCAGTTTTCTATTTTTCCAGCTTTAAGTTGGAATTTTATTCCACCTCAAAATGCAAACTAAAAGAACGGCAACCCTGATTTATATTACTGTATGAAAACAACTGTCAATAATAAGGCAGCATCAGTGATCTGGATGTTCCAACTGTTGGAAAACATCTATTGAGAGCTGGTTTGTTGAAAAAAAAATTGGAAAAATTTGTTCAAGCTGAAGACAAATCAGAACCCTAATAGTAATGGCAGTAGAATTAATTTAGGCAAAACATCAGTTGTGAGTGGGGCTCCTGGGAATTTATAAATGGCGGCAAAAGTTACCAAGAGTGGCATGGAAGATTACTCTCCTCCCAGTCTAATCTAGTCTTCTTCACAAGAAGTGGAAATTTTCCTATGTACCAAGAAGCTGTTTTTCTCATCACTTGCTATTGGGTTGTGTTTACTTGGAGATACCTGGGGTAAGTGAGTAATTTTTGCATGCACCAGCTAAGTTTAGTAGCTGCAGATTTCAAAACTGCATGACCACAAGAGAATGAAAGCTCTCCTTCTCAATGTGTAATGCTGTCTAATAGCAATAGCACTTTGATTTATTGTTCTGACCCAACCGGGTTCCCAAAGAGCAAACACAGACAAAGGCAGCAGCCCCCACCTTTTAAGGTTTAATAATGAATTCTGTTCTGAAGGCTGCTTTCCACTAATTAGCTCCGACAAGAAAGAGCCTTGCCAATTTGTTTGTCAAGGCTGCCAAAAACCCAGAGATAAGAACTAATTTACAAAAATCTCCAAACACGAACTAAGATGTCCACCAGTTGAGTTTAAGAGCTTCTTTGCTGTCTGCAAAGAACGCTTTTCCAAACCTGGTTTTTATCCTGTTTAGGGAGGGGCCATTACCTTGCAGCCTTGCTCCCAAGTTGCCTGTGCTGCTGTAATTGTTCCTTCCTCCGAGTAATCCTTCGTGCACATGCACTTGGCACAGGCTCCTTGGGAACCTCCTCATCACTGCTGCGAACCCACATAATCTCTGAAGGCAGCAGTCCACTCCCTGATGGTCCTGGCCCCTTATTAGAGTCATCGCTCTCCTCAGCCATCTGCACCTGCTGCCAGCTAACCACAACACTTATATACCACTTTACAGTGCTTTACAGCCCTCTCTAAGCTGTTTATAGCATATTGCCCCCAACAATCTGGTTCCTTATTTTACCCACCTCTGAAGGGTGGAAGGCTGAGTCAACATTGAGCCTGGTGAGATTCGATTTGCCAAACTTCTGGCTGCCGGCAGTCAGCAGAAATAGCCTGCAGTACTGCATTGTAACCACTGCGCCACCATGCCTAATGCTGTCCAAAGGATCAAATCAATGCTTCAGCCCTAGTATTATTACACCATATGTTTTGTCAGTAAGTATTTATGTGCAATTCCAAAAGAAAAAGTAAGGCACCTGAAATGGACTCCTTTAGTAATCTAATGGGAAATCTTTGTGCTGCATGCTAGACTCAGAAGTCAAACAGGTAATTTTGAAAAAAGCAGCTGGAAAACCCTTGTGGTATTTTTGCCAAGAAAATGCAAAGGTTATTATACTCACACTGAAAGCATTTTTACCATTTGCACACAAATATACATTCATGCACACAGATGTCAAATTGGTTGATTTGTGTACCCAGGGCTCATTATTATCAGCACAATAACATGGTTTATAGGAATTGGATTGAGTCAATCAAGTATTACCTTCTTCTATTGTCACGTTCCCTCTGAAAAAATATCTGCCGTGTCCTCTAGACAGAGCCACACCTAAACTGTGCAGATAAACAAAAAGCAGACCATAAAAACTGTGGCATAAACAAAGCTAGAAAATACAGGAAAAGATAATTACTCCCTAAGGTTTTAATTCCTGCTCTAGAAACAATTTTGTTTTGTTTCCAAGACCTTGGTGGTTACATGTCTTGGCCAACCAGCCACTTTGATGCCATTTTATGTTTGTTGTGCCAGCAGCAATGGACTGTGTATATTTATTAGGGGTGCAATAAGCCCTGCTCTCTCTGGCAAGCGAAAATGAACACTCACCAAGGTCAGCGTTGTTCAGCCAAGAGTAGAATCTGCCCATAGGCTTGTAGAGGAGGAGGCCGTTTTCATACAAATAAAAATCATCTGTATGGAAAATAATTCTTACTGATAGTATAAGAGCTAGCAGAGCTGTTGAGAGCAAGGAAATCTAAGAATGTGAAAATCGGAGCTTAATGACACACTTGGCATAATTTCTTGATTACATATGTTAACCTTGCTTAATATTTTTGTGATGGAAATAGTATTGCCATGCGCTTTTTCCCATAAAATACTAAGGGCAGCACAGTGGAGGGTTGCAATAATTGTTGCATTTTTAAAATGTTTCTTACATTTTTGAAAGTACTGATTTAACTGTATAGGTTGTCCTCGACTTACAACTGCAAATGAGCCCAGCATTTCTGTTGTTAAGTAACACATTTGTTAAGTGAGTTTTGCCCCATTTGACAAACTTGCACATGAGAAGGTCACAAAAGGGAATCAGGTGATCCCGGGACACTCCAACCATCATAATTATGAGTCAGCTGCCAAGCGTCCAAATTTTGATCACGTGACCGTGGGGATGCGGCAATGGTCATTAATGCAAAAAAATATCGTAAGTCACTTTTTCAGTGTCATTGTAACTTTGAACAGTCACTAAATGAACTGTTGTAAGTCGAGGAATACCTGTAGTGCAGGTGACTAGAAGAGACCAATAGAGTAAAAGCACTTGTTCTCATTTTGGAATCTGATCCAATCTGTGAATTGAATGCCAATTTTATGTAGGTAAGATTCAGCAAATTCTTCAATCTGGACATATGCTGCAAAAGTTATGTATGGAATTTAAAATCACATCTGCTGCTATCAAACCAAGACAACATGAGAAAGTTAGGCACATGACAAAGGAGAATTGACAAAAAAAGGGAAAAAAAAGAAAAAAATTGCAGTGGTTGTTCAACAGGTTTTTTGTATCTGAACTCACATCTATTTCATGAACATCTGCCTTGTGGGATGACAGACACAAAGCATCAGGAGAACTCATGCTTGAACTGAAAGAAGAGCCTTGAGTTTTCTGTGCAACTACTTCATACAAAAAGTTTACAAAATGGTAGCTTACAAAATCTCCCTAGCAGGGGTGGGTTTCTACTGGTTCTGTCCACCTCTGTAGAACTGGTAGCTCTGAAGAGCAGCAGACATAGAACCGGTTCTTTGTCTGCTGATGTTTTTGCCCACCCACCCACCCGGGCTCTTACCTGATCTTTATTCCTGATTTTTTCAACTTCAGCTGCCGTGCGAGGCACAGCTGCAGTTTAAAAAGCCGGGAAAAGGGGCTTTTTGAAAGGCTGCTTCTCTGCACCCAGCGTGCTGATTACAATTTACAGGCGTGCACCACAGCGTGCAGGGAAGCACATCATAAATCACCGAACCTCGTAAATGACCGAACTGGTAGTAAAGGAGTTTTATATACTGGACTACTGAGGCTTCCTACGGACCTTTCCTAAACAATGGAGTCTTGTCTCCAGTGTAAGTTAGTATGGCCCTCTTGGCATCAATCCTACCAGCTGACTAATCCCTGATTGGTGCATATGTTTGAGCTCTAATGTCTGGTTGAACGGTACTGATTTATTGCACAAGTAGACAGCATTGGGTGCCTGTCAGTGTCACAGCCAGAAATGAACTCCAGCCTGCTCACTAAAGGCAGAATTACACTACGAAAAGGACTACATATGGACTGTATCGTGCTTAGGATTTGATTTGTGGTTCAGTTACCGGAACAGGCATTCCATGAATATGTAGAACTAAGCTCTGTATAAATAAATTCTAATCATTTTATTTGCTAGTGCATCTACAATCAGTAAGTGTTGCATCATTGGATCAGTGTTACCAGTCTGGATATTGTTTAATTATTTTGTGGATGGGAAACATTTTAGTGAAACACAGCACTCATTCTTCCTTTCTTTTGAGTACAAGATGTGTTTATGCTTCATGTAATTGCTTATAACAAATGAATAACATTTCTGAGTGTGTGCATGACTCTCTGAGCCTTTGAATATGTGTGACTGAGGTAAAAGGAACTGCCTGTAGATAGTGATGGGGACTACAGATTTATAATGAAGATGCCAGTGTCCTAGAAGTGCGTATTAGTAATATTCTGTTAGCCACACCTAATCTACAGCGTACATACAAATGCATTTCTTTTAGCCCTGTACAAAAATCTGAGCATTTTTTTATCAATGGCAGGGAAAATTCAGCTGAAGATAGGCAGCAAATTTCTTAACAGAGCACAGAATGGAGTGCCTACTGAGTGACAGGCCAGGCAATTTATCTTTCATAAATTTTCCGTCTCTGAATAAAACCTGAAAAGGCACACTGGAAAGCAATTTCCCTTGCTTTTTTCAGCATCATTTAGGGACGTTTTATTGTCAGCCCTCTTCTGATGAGCTTTTAATGAGCTCATGAGGCCTGTAGAAATGCGATTGCAATAAGCCCGATGAAATATTCCATTTATTGTGAGCTGTTTTACCTGAAAGGGGTACCCTTGATATCTGTATAATAGTAGTCATTTGTCATCACCAACACTCGCTTCTAGATACAAGAGGGGGGAAAAAGCTTAATATGAAAAGTTTGGCAGGTTTGAACTAAAAAAAAGCAAACATGTAATCTAGGACAACATTAATAATAGCATCATAGAAAGATATGCAAACATTCAAAATTCATCTACATGTAATAAACACAAGTATACAATTTCATTTTTAAATTTTGTTGGAAAAGAATTGCCTATACAAAATACCCCTTTGTCCACTGTTTTCTTTACTTCCATGGAGAATTTTCCTGTTTTCCGATTCACCATTGCGTTCCGAAGCTTAAATAGGAAAAAAGAAAAAAAGGGGGGGGGGAGTATAAAAAGAAATTTAAATAAAATAATTAAGACAACATCTTGTTTTTCCCTTTATATATGTCATCATTTAAAAAGATATTTGAACCAAAGGAAGAATAGGTACATATGCAATCTTTCCACTCTAATTTGTTTAACTACCAGTCATGCTCATTATATATTCCTATATCACAACTTCCAGAGCCAAAGACTATTTCACTGAAAATGCTGGGAATTTAGTCTAACAGGTTTTAAAAGCAATTGTGTTGAAAAACATATTATAAAATAAAACACGGCTGAAATGGGATTTGAGCCTGGGTCCCAATTTGTAGAAGTCTAAGACTGAAGGTACCACTCCAGTTACATTATAAATTTAGCACTTAAGACTTCTATACCACTTCACAGTTTACAGAAACCGCTTCTAAGCAGTTTACAGAATCAGCCTATTGCCTCCAACAATCTGGGTCCTCATTTTACCGACCTCGGAAAGATGGAAGGCTAAGTCAACCTTAAACCTATGAAAATCGAACTGCTGAATTGCTGGCAGCTGGCAATCAGCAGTAGTGGTCCACAGTACTGCAGTCTAACCACTGTGCCACCATGCCATTGCTTGGAAAGCTTAGTTTTGAAAGGAAGTTAAAACTGGCAACCTTTACCAGCAGGCAAGTAAAGGTTAAAATGAAAGTTAGTTGCAGGCTATAAGAGAAAAATCATTATGGTTCATGTATAAGTTTGGAGTGAACTTATGCATGAATCCATAACCCAAGCAATTCCTTAAATGTGGTACCTGATATGGCGGTACTTTCTTTCTCTTTCTCTCTCATTCAAAACATTCCTGTGTTTCTCTCTACATATGGTTATCCTGCCTTTCAACTTTGAAATTAAGCAGCCAAATAAAGAAGTCCAATGATGTCCCATCCTCGGAAACCTCCAATATGTTTTTAGAATAGAATAGAATAGAATAGAATAGAATAGAATAGAATAGAATA